TGCAGAACAGGAACCTGCTGTAAAACAGCAATTATGCTGAGTCAGGCTTGATTTTTAATAATCTTTTCCTGTTAAATAAATAAATCAAATCAATCAGGGTCAGGGTGGGAGCTGGAGACTTTCTCAGATCTCGGACCATCGCAGGGACGCAGACAAAAACACAAACAACTATCCACTCTCCAGTCACACTGAAGAGCTCCAAATGGGTTTCAAACTGGGAACTCTAGAATCAGATCCCCCTGCTGCTGCACAGTGTTTAAATTACTTATTAATAATAATAATTTATCATATCTACCACAGTAAATTATGATTACCAGGATGAGTCTTTAACATTGAGATTTAATCAGGGAGTTAAATATTTACATGTATAAATTTATTATAAATAAATAATAAATATGCAAATTTATGTTTGTATCAAGTACCCTTCATGTTACTCGGTACTCCAGAAGTAGCTCTTAGTCTCAAAGTGTGGTGACCCCTGCTTTACGCAGACTGATGTGCTACCGAGAGTCATTTCTCATATTAACCATCATTATGGTAGGTTTTAGAAACTGTATTGTCTTTGTGATAACACATGATTTTCACTGGAAAAGAGATACATTTTATATTTTAAATGTAAATAACACTTAATATCCTGCATACTGCCTTCACAGCTGTTGTACTTTGCATCAAATACATTTTGTGCCTTACAGTCTGTAAGAAGAGGAAGGGTAAGCCAGGGACTGAGACTTGCCAGTCAAAGAAAACTAAACTCATTAACAACGGTAGGACCTGATTCTGTGACAGACATGTCCAATATCTCTGCAGAGGTGCCACCTTTTCACAGTTTGCTGCCATATTCTTTTGCAGGCTTTTGTCTTTATCTTGGTAACCTGAACAACTGGAAAACAGTTCAGGAAATCACAGATTCATTAGCAGTGTTCTTCATAAAGCACAGCCTGCTGTGTCAAGACATTCATCTAGCTCCGTCCCGGTGAGTAAAACATGACTTTCAGTGCTCAGTTTGATAAATGTTGCAGCTATTTGAAATTATTAGGGCTGCATGATAACTATCGGTCCGATATCATAACAAACAGAACCAATAATATATGTGCATGTTTTCCTGTGCGGCAGTGAGTGTGATTTTTTTTTTTTTTTTATCCTTTCTGATCAAGCTGCTGTCCATCTTGCCCGAGACCTGCACAATGTTTAAGTGGCATCGGAGAAAACAACATTCTCACTGGAAAAATAAATACAGGTCCTTCTCAAAAAATTAGCATGTTGTGATAAAGTTCATTATTTTCTGTAATGTACTGATAAACATTAAACTTTCATATATTTTAGATTCATTGCACACCAACTGAAGTAGTTCAAGTCTTTTATTGTTTTAATATTGATGATTTTGGCAAAAAAGTAAAGAAAAACCAAAAATCTCTATCTTAAAAAATTAGCATATCATGAAAAGCTTCTCTGAACGACTTATTAACCTAATCACCTGAATCAACAAATTAACTCTAAACATCTGCAAAAGATTACTGAGGCTTTTAAGAACTCCCAGCCTGGTTCATTACTCAAAACCACAGTAAGACTGCTGACATGACTGCTGTCCAGAAGGCCATCATTGACACCCTCAAAAGCAAGTGAATAAGACACAGAAAGACATTTCTGAACGAATAGGCTGTTCCCAGAGTGCTGTATCAAGGCACCTCAGTAAGAAGTCTGTGGGAAGGAAAAAGTGTGGCAGAAAACACTGCAAAACGAGAAGAGGTGACCGGATCCTGAGGAAGATTGTGGAGAAGGGCCGATTCCAGACCGTGGGGGACCAGCGGAAGCGGTGGACTGAGTCTGGAGTACAAACTTCCAGAGCCACCGTGTACAGGCGTGTGCAGGAAATGAGCTACAGGTGCCGCATTCCCCATGTCAAGCCACTTTTGAACCAGAAACAGCCATAGGTGCCATGTCAGCTGCTGGTGTTGGTCCACTGTGTTTTATCAAGGGCAGGGTCAATGCAGCTAGCTATCAGGAGATTTTGGAGCACTTCATGCTTCCGTCGGCTGAAAAGCTTTGTGGAGATGAAGATTTCATTTTTCAGCACGACCTGGCACCTGCTCACAGTGCCAAAATCACTGATAAATGGTTTACAGACCATGGTATTACTGTGCTCAATTGGCCTGCCAACTCCTGACCTGAACCCCAGAGAGAATCTGTGGGATATTGTGAAGAGAAAGTTGAGAGACACAAGACCCAACACTCTGGATGAGCTTAAGGCTGCTATCGAAGCATCCTGGGCCTCCATAACACCTCAGCAGTGCCACAGGCTGATTGCCTCCATGCCATGCCGCATTGAAGCAGTCATTTCTGCAAAAGGATTCCTCACCAAGTATTGAGTGCATAACTGAACATAATTTGAAGGTTGACTTTTTTTTTTATTAAAAACACTTTTCTTTTTTTGGTCGGATGAAATATGCTAATTTTTTGAGATAGGATA